TTGTAAACAAACATTTTGGCCTGTTCGTAAAATGCTATCTTCGTGAGAACGGCACGCACCAGTGTTTGCCATCCAATTCGTATGTGTGACGTCACTTCAGTTTAAACCGACCTGACTGCACCAGAACCAAGGAACTTAACCGGAAGTTAACGCGCAACTTGAGTGCGCGACAAAATTCCCCACAAAAGCACAGCATTGCGAGGGAAGTTGCGTGCGTGTACATGACAAAGTCACTTTCGAACAGGTGATGTCAGGTACAAAATTGTTACATTGTATACATTTCCGAGCTCAACGTTGTCTATTAGTGAAAACAGAAAATGCGCTTTAGGTGCATTTTGCCCTGCGGTGACGATTATGCTGATTTCAGTTTATTGCACCAAGATTGTAAGCATCACATAGCCTAGTTGATTTTGAAAAGAAAAAGAAAACAAATTTGAGAGAAAAAAAAAGAGTTTTGGCCACTTTGTCTCTTCGTGAAAACGGTGACGAAATGTAAAAGGATAAATTGAACAATAACAGAGGAAAATCACAAAACCTTCCCAATATAGGTTTGTGGATGATTGAAACAAAAGGAGTGACCAGTCTGTTCACGGTCCAAGTAACTAGGTCTACCCTCCTCATAGCAAATCAATAAGACTATTTATTCAGTACAAATCAATGGCTGCACTTTTCATTCACTCATTCTTTCCAAAAAACTTCCTCTTTACTTCCTTCCTGATTTCAAACGAATTCCCTCATTCAACCCACAGGTTGCACCTGCACCACACATATCAGCGACTTTTAAGCGGGAGCCGGGCCCACCGCGTCACCTCAACCACCAGCCCCCCTTTCTCTGACCACGGGTTTCCGGGACGCCTCGGCCCCCATCACGGAAGATCGATAAAGACGGTGGCAGCCAGGAAAACCATCTCCGTCTTTCCTTTCACTTCCCTCCTACATATCCATCTGATCGCCATTCAGGACGGAAGATACTGAAAAGAGGGGTTTAATTCAGCGAGTAATAAACACGATTAGACCTGGCTCCTTTTGTCCCCGCCCGAATAAAAATCAAGATGTCCCGGACAATAAGCCAGGGTGCTCTCAATGCAGAACAGGGATCTGTCGCCTTGATAAGCTTAGTCCCCATTATGTTGAGATTATCTTTTCCTCCACTCCAAAATGATCACAATTTGTAATGCGCTTTAAATTGCATAAAAACATACGCCAACGCAGTCCATAACGCCATAACGAGGTAATTCCATTTCCGACTAAGGTACCACTTCACACCGACGCCCCGCACTTTGGGAGGCAAATAAAGCAGACACATAGTATTGATCGGTCATTCAGATCGCGATAGATGATTTTTTCAGTGTTTCTCATGTAAGCGATGATTCCGTTCACAAAACTTACATAAGGCAAGGCATAAGGCAACGAAATTTCATGAATACAGAATCATACATCTTATATACAAATAGATCACACATACGTGGCTGCACTCTCAACTAAATGGGCCATAAAAGTAACGAACGTGCACAGCGAATTCAAGCCCAGTCTGTAACGCTAAACGTTACAGAAAAGACATGCCAATCAGCAGCAAGGGATCTAGTGACGTCAGAGCAATGTGATTGTGTTGAAAATGCAAACAATTCTTCAAAGCCTCTCTGAACGGAAATTTCAAATTAATGAATGTGTTGTGCATTGGATTGGGGCTATAGGTATCGTGCGGTCACTGATAAAAACAAGTTAGTCCCTCCAAGAATCAATGGTTTTCAATAACATTTCTTGATAAGCACTCTTTAATAGGCCTATCCTAAAAGTTAATGATGCAGAAGTTATCACTTATAACGGTCCACATGCCGTCTCCCTGTTAACATTGAAATTTCCTTCCTGAACTTGCCTCCTCTAGATGTAGAGAGTCCAAGAATTCGCCATTTCAAGAGGTAATTATGAGAGCCGTTAATTCATAAATTATCGTGGATGGTTACATCATGCATGAGTGCTGCTGTCAACCTCGTCTAAAACGAGCACATTGAACACACCCTATCATGACTGTCTCGCCCCAGTGTGAAAAAGGTTATGAATTCTTGATGAGTCCATGACAGCCACCCAGGGGAATGACAGGGGCGTTCCCTTGGGAGGCGGGAAGGTGGAGGGTGCTCTCATGGGACGAGTATGAGGCGTCTCCTGCTCCGAGGGCCGTGTTTGGACATCATTACGGAGGTTGTGCGAGTCCGTGTTTTTCTTTCATTTTTTGGCAGGTTGCACGCGCCCGTCTGAGGTGTGAGTGGGGTTTCCGTGGCGCGTGAATTTCATGTTGTATCTAGGCTTACAGGTTGCGGTTGCACCGTTCCCCGGGATTCGTGTGTTTGCATGAACCACCCGCAGACAGATGTTAAAGGGATCTTTCGTCTGTAAATTTCTTCCAGAAAAGTCTGCTGACAGAACTTAAAAATATTTCAACTATTGTTCCTTTTCATAAATACTGACGCGAGGTGAAATAATTAAAGTCACTAGTTTGAAAAAAATACGTGAACACGAGTCTTCTTGGGTAAGGTTGGGATGCTGTGTGTTAGATCTGTTAAGTCCTCTTAAATTTATTAATGGAAAAAGCAGAAGTACTAAACACATGAAAACAAAAAAGCTCATTGACAAGTGCAATTTTAAAAGAAATCTTTATTTTGAGAGCTGGGCACAGTTAAGCCACGTTTACACTTTTTCCTGTTGAATATTTGACAAATATTGACCAAATATTAAGTGTAACGCTAAGAAAATTAAATTTGAAATCCATGCAATGGATTGCCGACAAGATGAAGTTACAAACAAAATTATAAACTGGGCCTATAACTTTTGGGGTGTGCTGTTCTAAAGGGACAATCAGACATGTGGGGGGTTCTGAACTGGGACTTGATGCACTCTCTGAACAGTCTGGGTAAACAAGTGAAACACCATCTACACCATCAATGCTATCTGGATTTGAGTTTATACACTATCCTCTCAACAGGGACTAAATAACAGGCGTGAGACACTCTGGTAGATGCTACTGTATTACAGCTGTGCACAGCACAGATGCTACAGATTTGTGCACATTCAGGTGAAAATTGGTGCGTAGTCTCTAGTATATGGTACACAGTCTACAGTTTGAACTTGAAGATCATGGTCTAAGCTATTGTGTGCACACCAGAATATGAATGCATCAAGTCGTGTACACGCTGGCTATCTTGAGTGGTCACACGGTGCCATTAGTTGTTCCTTAATGGAGTCTGTAACGTCCCAGACCCATCATGAAGGAGGGATGATGATACTTAAGCAGTCCCAGTTAATCAGAAGGGCGGCAAGAGGTTGAAAAACACTGGAAGTGTGACCCATCCCATACCTTTCCATACAAAAAATTTGGATGAGACTTTTTTGCCAACTTACCTTTCTCTTATCTTGAATTGCACAATTGGCTTAACAAATTTAGTAATATTGACTAATCATGATAACTGGTGACAGCAAATATGTGAGGTATGGTTGAAATTTATCTGACAGCTTGTGTGGCCAGCTAATTTGTTTGCGGATATTTCTGCCACGTTATTGGCATTACCACTCCCCAAAATAATTAATAATTCAGGAGGCAGTCACAAAGAGTTGGTGTCTGCTGCATTATTTATCCATCCCCTAATCGCTTCCGCTGGCACTTTTGTTTTCCTACCTCGGGAATCCATCGCCTGGAATCTGAGAGCACGTTATCACCTTAAGCCTATTAATCTCTATGAGTCGGACTCCTCTGAATGTTAGCCTGCAATTTTAATGATCCAACTGTGGGTCCACATCCGAGGTCCAACCAGTCACCTACTTCACAGTGGCTTCCTAGAGAGTGGGAGATCAATACCACGGCGGGTGACTGGGTCCCTCAAAAGAAGAAGGGGGTTCACTGGGGGTTTGGTCATTGTGGTAGCTTCTTATACGGCCCATCAGTCCTTGGTACTTATCTCACCCTGGTATCCGGTCTTACCTCCCTTCTCACTGTGCCCCTATTGTGCACCAGGCTCCTGAGCAGTTCAAGTGTAGCCAGCAGGACTGTGAGAGCTAAGGAGAACAGAAGGATTAAGGGGAGTTTATGACAGATTGTCTGTT